CTAGTGAGCAAAGAAAATACTGGAGCTTATAAAAACGTCCATAGGTCTCACAGCTAAGACAAAGGCATCTAACTAATAAGAACCAGAAGTATCTGTTCACCACTTGAAAAAGCAGCTAAGAAACCTGGAACCTCATCCCAAAATGCCTTGGGCAAATCATGGCAATCACTCTTTCATGCTCCTGCTTCACCAATCTCAATGCCAGAGAATAATGCCAACCCCTCCCTATCCACTTCACCTGGCACCCTGATGGCTGCTACTTACGTGTGTGTACCGATCTAGCCAGTAGCCCTTCTGGGCAGCCGGGGGTGTTAGGACAAGGTGTCGAGGCTGGTGGAGGCTGAATCTCCCACAGTAGGGCTCTGTCGCACTGGTGAGGTCCCCCTCAAAGCTGGAACCTTCTGGACCTGGATGCAGATAAAATAGGAAGACAGGCATAAATGTTGAATAAGACAGCTTCTTGACATGTGTAGAGGAATTGGGTTATGAGTGCACCATGACAGCAGCCCTTCAGCCCTCAGGTGAGCTGGGCCAGGCTTGGGCTTAAAGGCTCCTGCTGTTAAGAACCCCATTCTGCCTGCCACAGAGCATCAAACATCTATTACCATTTTCTGTATGTACCATGACATGAAAAACTGTTGAGAAGCAAAGAGACAAGGAATGCTGACTGGAATTTAGTTCACCTTAGCATTTTAAAAACATGCTCTCACATTTTTAGAATTTGCTAAGACGACTATTTCACGTAACAACTTCTTTATTGGGATACAATTTGGGGCGCCTGGGTGGTTCAGTCAGTTAAGCATCTGACTCTCTTTCAGCTTGGATCATGACCTCATGGTTTTGTGAGTTCGAGCCCCATGTTGGGCTCTGCGCTGACAGTGTGGAGCCTGCTTGGGATTCTTTCTCTCGCTCCATCTCTGGCCCTTCCCTGTTCACACTGTCTGTGTCTCTCTCAAAAATAAACAAAAAAATTTTTTGAATTAAATAAGATATGCCGTTTTAGGGATTTTGTTCCCGCATGCGTGGTTTGCCTTCCCCCACTGTATGGAATGGGTAGTATTGAGCTCCACCTGACAGCTCACCGCGAATCCCTTCTCTTTCTCTGGCACCCACACCAAGGAGCTTCCTCCCACGTGTGTAATCACTCTCTTGGCCACTCAGGGTCCAAATCCACTTTCCATATCTTTTCTTGACTCTGGTGGCAGGAAATGAAGATTGTTCCCATTTTACAGAATAAAAAGAGAAGACCACGGTAGAGAAGAGGATCTGCATTTGTCAAGCCAAGGACAGCGCATACCTTGTTCAAATCCAAGCCAGAGTAGGATGTTGGCCGAAAGGGGTTCCAGTTGGCATTTGACTGCAAGTAACTTCTCAATAGCTACTTGAATCTGTTTAAAAAAAAAAAACTATCAAGGGGCGCCTAGGTGGCTTAGTTGGTTAAGCATCCGACTTTGGCTCAGGTCATGAACTCACGATTTGTGAGTTCAAGCCCCATGCCAGGTTCTGTGCTGACAGCTCAGAGCCTGGAGCCTGCTTCGGATTCTGTGTCTCCCCCTCTTTCTGCCCCTCCCCCACTCATGCTCTGTCTCTCTCAAAAATAAGTAAACATTAAAAAAAAAATTTTTTTAAACTGTCAAGAGTTTATACAGTGGGGATAAAGACACCCACCCCCAGTTCCCCCACCTGTCATTATTGAAAGAAGTTTCCCACCTGATGGGCTGTGGCATTTTCAGGGACTGGCTGGCTAAAGACATTGTCCCACGTAAGGAAGAAGTTCCTTCTGCCAGACAGAGTCAGCATCTAAAATGTCAAGAGTGACAAGACTGAATGACATATGCTAATCAAGCCAGAGAAACTCAGGATATATCTCCTCCCCTTGCTATCTCCTTTTATTTATAATTTCAATTTTGTCTAAACTCACTATCACCTAGAGATATCTAGGGATCAAGTGTCATCACCGAATGGAAACGTTCCCATGTCTATCCCCCTGTTCATCCGTTCCCCTTCTTTTCTGTAGGGTGCCAGACTTAAATGTTCCCACTGAATGGCCTCCTTTCAGCCCTTCTCACCCATCACTCTTTCCAGGGGGTGGCCTGGTGGGCAAGAGCAGCCACATGGCACGCCACACTCTCTCAGACGCTTATTCAGTCTCTGCTTTGCTGCTAGCGTGTTCCCTGACAGGCACGTTATACTTTTATTATGAAGTAAGATCTATCCTCTTATATCACTTGCTCTTTTCTACTTCACTCTGTGGTTATTTGTGTACATGTTTTACTATTAGACTGTAAGCTTCAAAAGCAGAGTCCATATTGACTCATCTTTGTACACCAAAAAGTGAATTGAAAGTACACTGAGATAGTTCAACAAAAATATGGGGCACATCTGAGAGACCCGAAAACCTTGACCTTTGCAAAGTCGATGTAGAAAACACCATCTTTTCCTATGGGTAAATAGGGCCTGAATCTGTAAAAGCAATGGGATCTTGTGTGTGTACACATATGTGCATGCCTACACAAGTGTGTATGTTTGGAGGACCGTATCTCTACACTGGGGAAAACATTTCCAAAAGAGGACTTACCTGGAAACTTGACCATGAGTAAAGTTATATTCATAATAAGACTTTGCATTTTCTTCTTAGATGTCTTCACAACCCCTATTGGATAGATATCCTATCTCATGGGGAGCAGAGTTATCATTACATCTCAAGTCTCCTGGCTCCCAGCTAGTGATCCTTCCACTAGACAAGACTATGCTCCTTCCAGAGTTCAGCCCCTGACTCTAACTCCACAGGACAAGGAAGAGACACAAACCTGGATTTCCGGAAGTCTCTGGGCACGGATTCGGATCTGATGCTTCTCCCAGAGGTAAGTGCTGACCACAGCGGGGTTCAGCCAGGTGTTGTGGATTTGGACACCAATTCTCATTCCCCTGCTGGGGACTCTCCCATAATGCTCTGCTTCCAGGTAGTACCTGGTGCCACCAACCAGCTCTAATTTGGGAGTCTTCCGCTGCCAGGTCCCTTCATTCCCATGATGCTCCCAGGCATCAAACCAGTCAGCAGTGCCCATGCTGATGGAGGCCACTTTCACCTGTGGCCCAATAAGCATGTCACTATCAGAACTATGAAGCTTATGAACATTTTTTTTCTCAATTAGCAAATGTCTGGACAGCTACGAATAGGGTCTTTGGAATTGTCTGCGTTTCCAACAAGTTAGCTCAGTCACACTGATGTCTGTGGTTGTATACGATCCTCCACTCCCCCCTCTGTCTCTCTATCAAACTGTATTCAGATGAGGCTGGATGGGCCATGTATAGAGCAGAGAGAGCCAACCTGAAAACCTTCCTTTACATGATGCTATGGACAAAATAGTTCTAAGCCATTTGAGAAACCTAGAAGGACTTGACCACATCAGAATCTACTATGTTTCTCTAGCCAATCAGCAAAGCAATTTCATAGAAGCATGTTAATAATTTAAGGGGGAAATGTGGTTCTTTGTCAATGGCACTATTGAATTTTGGCTTTTTGTTAGAAGCAGTTTTTGAGAGAGAGAAAGCAAGCATGAGCAGAGGAGGGGCAGACGGAGGGAAGGAGGGAGAGAGAGGGAAGGAGGGAGAGAGAGGGAAGGAGGGAGAGAGAGGGAAGGAGAGAGAGAGAGAGAAGGAGAGAGAAAGAGAGAGAGAGAGGGAGGGAGGGAGAGGGAATCTTTTAAGTGGCTCCATGCCTAGTGCAGAGCCCAACACAGGGCTCGATCTCACGAACTGTGAGATCATGACCTGAGCTGAAATCAAGAGTTGGACACAGCCGACTCAGCCACCCAGGCACCCCAAGCACTTTTTCTTATTCTTCAAAGCTGATCAGGGAATTCCTAAATAAGACTGGCTACATCTCTACCCAAAAATCAGTGCAAAAGGCACAAGTTTTAGAATCAAACAGATAGGAGTTTGAGCCCTAAATATGCCTCTTATGACCCAAGTGACCCTGGATTGGCCACTTCCAAACCTCAATTTCCTTATCTGGAAAATGGAGATAAATATACTCAGCTCACAGAGATGCTGTAAAGATTAGAGACAAGGTATATAAAATGCAGCTTAATGCCTGGCTTCGAGTAAGTGCTTAATGAATGTGCCAACACATTCAACCAAATTCATTTTCAACAATTAAAATCATATCAATTAGGTCCCAATTTTTTTAAATTAACAAAAAATAAGCCCATTCCCTCCACAAAACAAAACATTAAAATCCCTAGTTGCTTAGTAGAATGTTACAACTATTAGTAGAATATGAGAGCTTTAGTATTTTTTTTTAAGGATGAAAGACTGGGGACAAGAAAAAGGAAAGTAAGAGGAAGGTGAATACCTTGGTCCTTGGGTCCTCTGACTGACTGAGGTACAGGGAAGCTTGATCATCAGCCTGGACCCAGAAAGTGTAATTATTGGTCTCTGGAGCCACAAAGAATCCACTGAGCCGTGCTCTGGAAAGCAGAGAAACACAGAGAAGTGAGAGCAACCAATGCCTGAATCACTGACCCGACAAGTGGGTGCCCTTGTACGTTATTTTTCTTTATGGCGATGAGGAAGAAACACGGGACTCTTGTGCCACAGGAGTGGCCAGAGTACTCTGTAAACAGCTATTCCTGTGGCACCTGCTAATCATTCTCTCAACACATCTCTTCGCAGTGGCCATGACTACCTTCACAGTCATGTACCTTTGGGAAAGTTGCAGCCGCAGCACGGGACTGTCTGGAGGCTTAGCATTTACTAACAGCTAGTGGATTGTAGGGGCTCAATCAATAGAAATATTATTCTTATTATTAGAAATAAAGAGATCACCAATAAGAATTTGCTCTGACTTGTTCCAGAACCTTGGTTTCTTGTCTCCTACTCCAACATATCATACTTCATGAGGTATATTAGATCACTCCTCTGGCTAAAGTCAGTTATTAGCTGCATCACATGTGTGCATATGCATAGCTGTAAGTGGCAATCACAAATTATCAAATGTGTTTCCTGTTGAATAATCTTACTTGACTTGTGGACAACACTTTGCAGTTCTTTATGAAGGGGGTAAAGTGATAGGCTTAAAATAACCCCAAATAATGTTAAGAAAAGCTTCTATTTTATCTCCCTCATGGTGGACATCAAGGTCATAGAAGCAGGTGTTTATGTGAGGTTTCACAGACTGGTGGCTCTCTTTAAAATATATTCCTATGGGTGAAGAAGGATATGTGCATAATGAAGCATGGGAGACTTGTGGAGAAATCACAAGACTTGAAATCAGAAAAAATCAGAGCTTAGTTCTGCTACTTGATAATTGTATATAATATTAGATAATTTTCTAACATTAGGAAAGCACTTTACTTATCAAGGACTATAGTTCCTCATCTGCAAACTAGACCTATAAATACATCTTCAGTTGTGGCATCGCATGAACTAACTTGTCTTCAAAGGCCTAGAGCATAGTAATAAGTCAATATATATCAGTTGAACTGAATAAGATCAGGAGACACACTGGATACACTGAGGAATGTCAGGACATGTTGTCTTGCCTTGCTCTGTTGGCTGAATGTGCGCATGACAAGGCTAGTCATTCCTCAAGATAATGACCTTGCTCTCAACCTTCTATTCTTGGTGTTGTTAATGTTTGTTTATTTTTGAGAGAGAGAGAGAGAGACAGAGAGAGAGACAAAGATAGAGACAGAGCATAAGCAGGAAAGGGGCAGAGAGAGAAAGGGAGACAGAATCTGAAGCAGGCTCCAGGCTCTGAGCTGTCAGCATGGAGCCCGATGCAGGACTCAAACTTACAAGCCGTGAGATCATGACCTGAGCCAAAGTCGGACGCTTAACCGACTGAGCCACCCAGGTGCCCCTCGACCTTCTAAACCTCTTTGAACACAATGTTGTGTTTAATGTAGGTTATCAGTAAATAATTTTTAATTGTTTGAAGGTCTACTAATTAAATGTTATCTCACAAAAAGAGGGCAGATTTGCTCTGAGTTTACCAGAAACCTCAATACCTACAGAGAGTATTTTTCTAATTAAATATTATGGCCCACAGAGAAAAGTCCACTAAATGTGTCAACAATTCCAAATTAACAGACATAACCTACAACTTCGAAGAAGGTTGCAGGCAATTTTATGAAACATAAATGTTTAATGTTTAAGATAAACTCGTGACCTTAGTAGTAGAGACAGATATGGCTAAGTAATGATCAAACGATCTCAATAAATACCAAGAATATTTTCTGAAAATCATTTTGAAAATAACTGCTTTAAAGGTCCATAAATATAATAATTTATCAATTAATTAATATGCCAATTTTTTAATTTAAAATTTTTGAATTGTAAAGAAATGAAGGACAAAGAGAATGGAAAGAGTTACTCTGATTTGTGGCTCCTCCAAATGGCAGTTAAAGAGACACTCCATGCAGGAGGTACATACAGTCAAATGTTCTTTTGTATTTTGAGGTGGTCTCTCTCCTTAACACTCCCCCACACACTGAATATAGCTGAAAGGTTTTCCTTTGAACATTATTGATGATTCTCAGAAACCATGATAAAGATGTATCATTGCATGCCACAAGGGACCACAACAATTGCCACTTTAAAACTATGCATTGGTGGTTAAATACCCAGTTAGTAAGGCTTCTGGGACAAGAGACTATTCTGTTCACAGATTTTCTTCCCTACTTGGCTTCTTCAAGGTCTGAGATTCCCTGAACAGGGAACAAAGTCTTTCATTCCACAACTGAGTTGAAATTTAAAATGGCCAAATCCTTGGAGGAAGGCACAGAATGGCTGGAATTCACATTCAGGGGTCATGACCAACCTCTTTGAGAGGAGATTTGGAAAGAGAAGAAATCCATCACACTGTCAAGGATCCATCCCTCTATGTACACTGAGAGTACACTAAGGAAACAGTGTGTCTAAGCAATTCTCAACTTTTTATATTTTTAAGACCACTTTAGGAAACTACACATTTCAGCCAGGTCCTCAAAGTGATTAAAAATATTCACAGCAACACTAACAGGAATACCATAATCACATTGCCGTCACTGCTACAGAAAACAATGCCCATAATAGCTTCCCCTGCTATTCACCAGCCACTGGGTTGACCTTTGGCACTGAGTAGTTGGTCCAGCAGACATGCTTGCTTTCTAGCCTTTGCTCCCTCATATGACCAGAAAGCATATGCTTGCTTCTTTCTTTGGCATCAGCCAGATGTTGGTTTCATGTCTTAGCCATGTACCTACAGCAAGTTTTACGGTGCTCTCATCCAAGTACCCTGGCTTACCCAGATTAATGTTCCAATTACTAGTCATATCCAAAGCAGACTATAAACTGACTTGCAGAAAATATAAATTTTACCTATTGATCAAAATTCAGCATGTACCTAAAAAGGCTTGTGCTATACCAGCATGACCAACACTAGTTGAGAATATTGATCAAACTGTTGTTGAGTTGGTGGGTGTTAGAGTTTTTCCCCTGGAAACCTCATTGCTTACCTATCTCCTGGTCTCACCTAGGTTAGTAAAGACACTTTTGATATAAACTCCCACTTTTCCTACAGCATACCTGAAGGGTTGCCCTTCTTTTGACCAAAATCCAAATGGAGAACTGGCATTAGGGACAATCTGCCACCAGTACCCAGAAGTGGCTGCAGTCAGATCCAAGCCCTCAGCAGCATCTCCAACTTCAAAAAGCAGCCCTCGATTGCCTGTAAGACAAGTATACCTCAGAAACATCAGAGGACCTTCATCCTCCATTTGGGGAAATACTTTACCTCAGATAACACAGTGAAGATGATCCAGCTACTATCTACAGAGGTGAGTCAACTGAGACCCAGATGTTGCAGTCATGTGAGAGGTTCTATAGATAACACAAATGTTCCAGAAAGCAGAAAATATTGCTTGGTGTAGGATTTAGCCTCTTGGAAAGATACACTTGATAAAAAGCAATGATAAAAAAAATATTGGGAAATATTTTCAAGGGACCAGAGACAAGTAGGGAGTCTTTTCTAACGAGGGTGTCAGGGAAAGAGAAACCAGTCCTGTGGAGAATTGACAGAGTGAACAAATGCTGTGATGGAGTACAGAAGGACAACATGAACTTGGGCTCTGATTTATCTTGTTCAGGAGAGAGTTTCAGTATTTTAAGGTCTAGTTCAACCTGGGAACACTATTCCCTACAACCCTTTGTTCCCAGAAAATTGGCAATCTTTAAATTTTTTCACGTAACGGCCCCAATTTGTGGACTCACACATGGAACAAATTACGTGCCGTACAATTATGATGTGATATTTTTAATGATATTTTACTTACTAATTTGTGTTTTATATTAAGCAAACTCTGACACCAGAGGTACACGTACAATCAATATTGCATACTAACTTGGACTGCGGGTGCCACTATGGAATCATACATGTGTGGATTCAGATTCCAGCTTTGCCACTTACTAGACCTGTGGCTTTGAGCAAGCAAACTGCTTAATGCCTTCATTCTCTGAGCATCAAAATGGGGTCAATAATAGAGATAACGCACTAAAGACTAAGGGAGATTGAGTTATACGTTAATTGTATCTCAATAAACCTGGGGGGAGGGGGAATGAGTGAATTTGACAATTCTGGCAAAAAAAAAAAAGACTTAGGGAGTCTAAACTATATACACAAAGAGCCTGAAATATGGTAAGTTTTCAATAAAGGATAGCTGTGGTAATTATTATTATTTTAAACTACTACTGTTGTTCCCTGTTAAATCCAACAAAAAAAGGAAATAGAAAAGGAACAAGCAGAAAAATAAGAGCGTATTTAATCTACTACTTGGATTTGTGGATAACTGTTGTGATGTCTGCCCTGTGCATGGAAAGATGTTCTGGGCAACCCTGGCCTCCACTCAGGAGACCAGCTGCACCACCACCACCATCTTGGCTGTAACAGCCAGTTGTTGCCAAATGTGCCCTGGGGACCATTGAGAACCACTGCTTTACGCAGTAATTTGCCCTACTTTCATAGAAGAAACTTCAAAAGGTCTTCATAAAGGACGTTAACTCCCAAGAACAGCTGCATTCAGCTAATTATCCTACCACTACTCAAGCAGCTAAAGCACTGAAGGAGGGGAGAGCTCTCTATTTCCTGATAGGAAACACACATTCTCTCCAGCACTTGCTTCAGTAGTTTTGTTCCCTTGGATGGGAGCTCTCCTTGAGTAAAAACTGCAGATCTGGGACCTGAAGAATGCTCAAGCCAAAGCTTTTGCATGCATTTTCACACTCGAATGGCCTTTCTTTAGAAAGGTTTCTCCCCCTGCTGGGTTACTTTCCCTGTACGTGCCGAACTTCTGGAGTTGAGCTCACTGTCTGTGGTTTCACCATGAAGTCAGCCCCTTATGGGGCAGGTAAGGAATAGAGACGTGCAGCCTGTGGTTCCAGGCTACATAACACACCAACCACCCTTAGTCCCTAACTGCGCCTGAGCTTGCAGTTCTAACGCTCACCAGAAAAGTGTTCCAATGGTGCGCTTTTAAGCTGCAGCCCTGAGGCAGAAGCTTTACACAGAAAGGAACAAGTAGAACCTGCCACCTTGCCTCCCCCATTTCTGCCCACTTCAGGCATAAACTTGAGGCAAAGGCATGGTACATCACTACTTTTCAAAGAAGCAGACAGTCACCCACAGGGAAGAAGAAACAGCATTTAAATGCACCCCACTCTGCCCCACTCCCTGGCCTTGTCTAGTGCTGCTGTTATGGGCACAGGAGAGGACACTCTAATGCTCTGGTCTTCTTAGCCAATGGGCTCACAGCTGACCACAGTATGGAGCGAGGCAGCTTTGGGGTTTCCACCAGTAGCTACAGCAATGTCTTGATTGCAGTTATATTTTTTCTTTTTTAATTTTTTTAACATTTATTTACTTTTGAGAGACAGAGCATGAGTGGAGGATGGGCAGAGAGAGAGGGAGACACAAAATCCAAAGCAGGCTCCAGGCTCTGAGCTGTCAACACAGAGCCTGACATGGGGCTCGAACTCATGGACCGAACCATGAGATTATGACCTGAGCTGAAGTTGGATGTTTAACCAACTGAACCACCCAGGTGCCCCTTTTGCAGTTATACTTTATGCATCAGGTCTCCCCTGAACCCCACTGGCCATTTGGTTGGGGCCAGAAGTGCAGGGTCACTAAACATCGGAACAAAGCCAAGAAGCTCTCTGAAAGGAAAGTCCTCACAGTGGTATCACAGGCCCAGAGCTCACTGAGCTAACCAGTCAAACGGCTGAGAAAGCAAACACTTATTTCCACTTCCCGGCCCCTCCTGGTGGTAACTAGAGGCCATTGTACAACGTCCTTACCTGCCTGAGGAGCAGTGAGTCTTGCACCTTTTCCTGGAGCCCTAGTGGTGCACTCAATCTTCCTGGGAGACACATGTCTAATATCACACGGAATGCCTGGGGAGAATTTTTTTAATTAGATAAACGGAGAGAGAGAGAGAGAGGTATATAGGTGTGAGGCAGGACAACATGACCATCCTGAAGTAGACAGGCTCCTATTCTAAGGTAATGAACTGGATGTGAGTAATATAGCAAAAGTTGTCCCCACCAACTGAAGGAGGCCAGGAAAGGGAGAGTGTAAGGCAACGGGGAATAGGGCAGCTTCCAGTAATTAGAAAGAAAACAAGGCAATGCAGTGCCATTCACTGAAAATGCACAAGCCTCGGCTGAGTGTGGGAGAGTAAAGGTGACGTGAGATTGTGAGGATGTTTTCCTGCATCCTTGGTGTCACCAGCCAGAAGAGCCTCCCACCTGGCAGAATAAAAGGTTCTAGTTGGGTACCACAAAAGGATTTCCCAAGATGGAATTCCAGAAGAATCTGCATAGCAAATGCCTGCCCAATCCAGTTTATCAAGAGGACTAAGGAGAAGGGTGGGGAGAGGGGTGGCCTTTTCAGTAGAAGTGGACCTTTCTGAAGACACAGCTCTACCTTTCCCTTCTCTTCATTCCCAGGATGAGGACACCCAAGGGAATTACCCATGAATTTTTTTAATTTTTATTTTTTATTTAAATCCAACTTAGTTAACATATAGTGTAATAATGATTTCAGGAACAGAATTTAGTGATTCATCACTTACTTATAATACCCAGTGCTCATCCCAACAAGCGTCTTCCTTAATGCCCATCGCCCATTTAGCCCATCCCCCCCACCCCCCACCCCTCCAGCAATGCTCAGTTTGTTCTGTATTTAAGAGTCTCTTATGGTTTGTCTCCTTCTCTGTTTTTATCATATTTTTCTTTCCTTCCCCAATGTTCATCTGTTTTGTTTCTTAAATTCCACTTATGAGTGAAATCATATGATATTTGTCCTTCTCTGACTTGTTTCACTTAGCATAATACCCTCCAGTTCCATCCACGTTGTTGCAAATGGCAGGATTTCATTATTTTTCATTGCCAAGTAATATTCCATGGTGTGTGTGTATTTATATACAACATCTTCTTTATCCACTCATCAGTCGATGGACATTTGACTTTCTTCCATAACTTGGCTATTGTTGATAGTGCTGCTATAAACATTGGGGTGCATTGCCCCTACGAATCAGCATTTTTGTATCCTTTGGATAAATACCTAGTAATGCAATTGCTGGGTCGTAGGGTAGTTTTATTTTTAATTTTTTGAGGAACCTCTATACTGTTTTCCAGGGTGGCTGCACCAGTTTGGGAATTGCTGTAAATTAGGAGTATGTCAATAAACTGTCCCTACAGGACTACAATCCCACCTAGTCTCAAACAAACAGATAAAATACCTTAGGGCAGGATGGCGTAATGAGTCAGAAGAGGCAAAAATTTCTTCTCCCCACTCACTGCATGCCATAAGAGACACATAATCTCCTACAGCATTTAAACTATGAACTATTTTCAGCCATTCTAACTTAGTTACCTGCAATGGTAACCCGGGCAGGATTGTCAAAGAAGTCTCCCGTAATTATAATGTCTGTTTTTCCCCCAAGGCTCCCAGATTCTGGAAACACAGATAGTATTTCTGCAAAAGAAAAAAAAAAGTAAGCTTCTGAACATAGAATATAGAATGTGACCCAGATAATATAATAATAGAAGGCTATCACTAATGTATTCCTTACTTTCACTTTCTAAGACCAGCAATAGTTGGAATTTTTTCTAGTAATAGTCACTTAAAATGCATATAATAAGGACTTACCTATAACAATATGTATAATACATATAATACAGGATCAATATTTCAAAGGAAGGGGAGATGCAGTCACTCATGCTAATAGCAGAAATCCTTACATACCATGATGCTTTCTTAGGAAACCTGTCACCAGATCTCAAGTATTCAATTTACAAGTCACAGAACAGTAGGTTTTATGTTATGGAGGAATCAGCTTTGGATGCACCAGGCCAAGCCTTGGTTCACCTGTTTGAGTTTGCAGTTTGCTCTAAGCAAGAGAATGAATTGCACCATCTTCAGGAGCCTTGCCCTCCTTCCATCCCACATGCTCTTCTCCCTGTGTACACTCACCACCTCAAACATGTTTTTCCATGCTGCCTCCTGACTGCTTCAAAATCCCACTGTCATATGCCACATATCCCCCAGAATGTAAGATTTTCTGGTCCTTTCCTCTCCTATGATCCAAACTTGACCATTCTAAGTTCTATTCCCTCAAGGGGAAACAGGAGTTGTCTTCTCCAACAAACTGAAGACACAAAGAAGCTAATTATGAATGGTTATGGGTTTTATCGGGGCATTTCTTATATAAGCTCCTGCCTATGAAATAGTATAATTATGACATGCTGGGCTAGCACAATTAGAGAGAGTACATGAAAGTGCAGAGGGGAGGATTAGGAATAGAGCTAGGGTCTATGGAATAGAAAGAAATTTCTAGAAATGATTCCTGAGCTGAATCTTAAAGTGTGAATTAAAACTGGCCAAGTGAAGGAAAGAAATAAGGCAAAGGATGTTTAAATAAAGCAAACGATAGCCTCTGTGGAGAGAGGCTTCATTTAAGGTCCATTTCCGTGTTGCTAGAATGGGAAAGACAGAACAGGAGAAGCAGATGAGGAAGAGACCAGAGGCTGGTACCATTTCCTATTGAGAGTGGGAAGCCTTTAGAGGGTGGCAAGGGAGAGGCATCAGATGTGTGGTGTAGAGAATGGTGGTGGTGATGTAGAACATGGATCTTTAGGGGACAGAGAACAGATCGGGGCACCTTGGAACCATTGTGGCATGCCAGGCAAAAGATGATGGGATTCTAAATTGAGGTAGTGATTGTAGAGATAGAATGGATACATCATATTTAAGAAATTGATAAGGGGTCTAATTGCAATAAGTAATCTAAAACCTTATCAAGAAATGGATGGGAGGTAAAACCAGCAGAAACTGGTGACTGAGTGGATTAGAGAAGAGAGAGGGGAGGACAATCGTAGATGAATCCCAAGACTCTTGCTCATTTACTTCTTTCAACAGCTTTTGGAGTTAGAAGGACAAACACCACTTTGTCCACTTTATAGATATTTAATTACAGCTCAGAAAGCTAAATGACTTAACCAAAATCATCAAGTAAACAAATGAATGCCAGCCCTTGGGGAGCTCAGCCCAGTGTCCTTTATAATAGTCCATATTCCCTCTCCCATAGCCTCCTCAGCTATAAGAAAGTTCTAGGGGGCGCCTGGGTAGCTCAGGCGGTTAAGTGTCCAACTTCAGCTCAGGTCATGATCTTGTGGTTCGTGGGTTAGAGCCCTGTGTCAGGCTCTGTGCTGACAGCTCAGAGACTGGAGCCTACTTCAGATCCTGTGTCTCCCTCTCTCTCTGCCCCTCCCCCATTTGCACTCTGTCTCTCTCTCAAAAATAAACATTAAAAAAATAGTTCTGGCCTGGAGTTCTCATCCCAAGAAGACATCAGTACTGGAAATATGAAATAGCTATGTGATTAGAGATTCCTGTCAGCCTATCTGGCTGGTTCAACAGTGTTAGGCAAATTCACCAGGAATCTTGGGGTCAGGTGGCCAGGAGAGTGGACGTCCCATCATAAATTGTTTACGTGCATAAGATTTTGAATTGGATCTGCATTTTTATGGCACTGGGACCTTTGGTTAATTTGTCCTTCTGGGTCTGTTTCTTCATCTGTAAAATGAGCCTAGTACTGTCTCATAGTGGAATTAATATTGAGAGTGCATGTACTCAAACTACTCAATAAGGGCCAGCCAGTAAGTTGCTTCTTCAAACTTACTCCCAAAGAGACTAGCTATACTGGTTAAAGAAAATAAAGGAGGGGCGCCTGGGTGACTCAGTGAGTTGAGCATCCAACTGTTGATTTCGGCTCAGGTCATGATCCCAGGGTCATGGGATTGAGCCTTCCATCGGACTCCACCCTGAGCATGGAGCTTGCTTGGGATTCTCTCTCTCTTCCTCTGTTCCCACCTCTCTAAAATAAAAACATTTTTTTTTAATTTTTAAAAGATGTTAAATAAAAGGCAGAGATCAAAATTCAGATTTTGCAGAATTATCCTATCTAGAGAGTAAATAGCATTTGCCCCTTGACCTATGAAATTTCTTGCACTTTTGGCAAAGGTTGATCTTATTGCCCCTGGAATTTGCACCTACTTCACAGACATATCTTCAGTGGCTTTGGGATTGTCTTCAACACTGAAGTCTAAGTACTCTTCTTTAGTGATCAACCCTCTACTACTGAATTGCATTCACAATTTCATGCAAGTTTCCAATTTCAACATTCATTTTTTTTAGTATGGAGGTTTGCTCATCTGATAGCAACACTGTAGTCTAGCATCAATATCAGCAAGTCATAAGTTGTTGGATGAATACTCAACTGTAGTTTAGCATCAATATCAGCAAGTCATAAGTTATTGGATGAATACTCAAGGTGAGGTGTTAAAGTAACTGAAAAGATGCACTTTTGTACTTTTCAGTGCCATCGCTCTTCCATCATTTCTCAGAACATACAACAAGGGTGACCTCCTTTCTTTCATTCAGTTTATATCCACAAACTTTGCATAGAAGTCCATGATCGACCCTCTTTTAATATGGCAACCACATGTGACACTCACACAAGCAACTTATTCTCATCCAAAGCCGAAGGGTCTTCCATCACTGTGGGGACAGCCTCAGGTGTTCATGGTCATAGAGAAACGGACAGGAAAAAGGGAAGGAGGATTCTACATTCAGCGAGGTGTGAGGAGGACAGGGAGAAGGAAAATTGTACCTGAATATGTCTGGTACAGGAAAAGCTCCTGTTTAGCACTGACCAGCCATGCATTCTTGTGTACCATGGACCTTCCAAGACAAAGTTTTGTTTTAGGTGAAAAAAATCATTTGAGATTGCATTTTTTAAATTGGCTGCCTAAAATGAAGATCATGGGCCAACCTCTCCTGATCTTTATAACAGTTTAGATACCAGTTCCTTTTGACAAATAGAGAATGATACCGATGAGGCAATGTATGTTTTGCGATTTAGAAAATTTTTGTATGACAATGATTACACCTACTTCACAGGGTCACAAGCATTAAATGGAATGATGATGTGAAAGGTCCTGGTAAAGAGTTGGCCTACAGTAGATATGCAATAGATATTAGGGTTATTCCTTCCTAAATTCGAGAGAAAGAGAGAGCCTCCATATCTGGGGCTATGTTACTGCAGGTAATTATGTCACTATCACCACAATGAGATTAATATCAGCTAGATAACATACTTTTAAAGAAAATACCTGACAAATTATATAGTGTCAGAACATTAGGTAAGGCATGCAGGAATCATTCACAATCATAATTTCCTCACCAAAGCTCTATGAAATTGGACCCTTTCCATCTTGAAGAAGGCATTTGCTAGACAACGCATTTCATGGAACTATGTTCTGTTTTAAATTTACAGTATTATGAGATTACTTTTTACTTAAGACCTAATTCCCAAAATTTTGTGCCATCATCCCATTGAAACATCTACAGTACCTCAAGACACAATTATATTCACCTAAGTAAAAGAAACCAAGCAGGTTTCATTATGCTAATCTGTCTGATTGGAATTTTCCATTATAAAAGGTTCAAAAAAGTAAGCAAAACAAGAAAGAGATGGATAATACAAAATGATAATAAATCTGCTTACTCCTCATTACTTACTTTCCTTTGTTAAATACTGAGAAACTAACATTCTGGGAGCCTGTAACAAAAAGAAAGACATTAACACAAGAGTCTGCATGTATCATCTGGGCCAGGCCATTGCTACCCTAAACCCAAGGACTCCAGATATCACCAAGTGACTGCCCAAACCTGTGATTTCATTAAGAGTGCCCAGAACAAACACCTCCCAGATTTAGCACCATCAGTGTTGACTTCCAACAATAAAAGGATAAATGTAGTAGCGTAAAGCAGATAAGAATTACAGCAGTCTCACAGTTTGACTAAACATGGGAAGCCTGGCTCTACTGGTTACCAGCTACAATTTTCTCACCTATAAAGTAAAAGTAATTCTACCAACTTCACCAATCCACTTATTGTGAGGATTAAATTAGCCTTTTAAGGAGTTCTCAATACATGGTAATTACTCTTTTCATGCTTGTGAGCATTCTTGAAACAGTATTTTTCTGATACAGAAAAAGAAACAGAAAAGACTTTAAACTTATGCCACTTCCTGAACGGACCAATGTAGTTGCCTTCCACACGGCACTGCAGGGTTCCAAAACCATGGTCTTCCTGAAGAGGATAGCTAGAGAGAGAACCAAAACCTGAGGTGAGAATTATCAGACAACTCAGAAGTTCTGACTCTTTAGCCAGGAAAGTAAAAAATAAAAGGTGAGTTGGCCAGCAAAAATTGGTAAATACTTAAGGCATAATGAGTTCATGGGAGCAAACACTAGAACTGTACTAACTAGAGTTCTTGTTGACACATATGCTATCAGGCAAGCATGCAGTGCGAGAGACAAAATTTAACTTGCTCCCAACCTCTTTTCAGACCTCTCCATTCTTTCCAAAACCTTTACAAAAAGGAGAGAAAAACCCTTAAAAAAGAAAAAAATCTATTATTGGGGCTCCTGGGCGGCTCAGTAGGTTAAATGTCCAACTTCAGCTCAAGTCATGATTTCACAGCTCGTGAAATGGAGCCCAAGTAGGGCTCTGCACTGGGTGTGAAGCCTGCATAAGATTCTCTCACTCCCTCTCCCTCTACCACTCCCCTGCTCGCATTCTCTCATGGTCGGTTGGTGTCTCTCTCTCTCTCTCTCTCTCTCAAAAAAAAAAAAAAGGTGTGAGTGTGTGTGTGTGTGTGTGTGTGTGTGTGTGAGAGAGAGAGAGAGAGAGAGAGACAGAGAGACAGAGAGAGACAGAGAGAAACCCACATGGAAGAACCTAAAAGCATGTATTAGGCAGGAAAGACACTCACCAGCTTCCTGTCTGCCTGTTTACAAGAGAGCAGGCTGTGACCCAGTTGTCTCCTTGAGCTTCCAAGATCAATGGACTGGATAAAAAAATGGGGTAAAAAAGACATGAGACAATAGTGTAAGACTCTCAGTAAAAATTCCTAGCAAAACTCAGAGGAAACACTGTTATGAGCATTCTTCTCTGGATTTATGGGGAATCACTGAGGGTGGCCAAAGCCTGTCCCCTGAGGAGATGTTGAATCAACTCTCAGTCTGAAGGTAAGCAATGCATAGCACTGTTTCATGGTCCACACCTTCACACTGCAGAAAGAGCATTTCCCTTTTCCACCAAAATCCTCATCATACCCACAATGGCTATATTGAGTCTACATAGAACTACTGTGGAGTCGATGCCTCCATTCCCCTTTTCAATGTTATATCCCTGACCAAGGCTGACATGGGACCAAGCAGTGAATGTGGCATATTATTAAGGATGTACTTGGGGCTTGTATCCTCCACAGAAAGAGTCATTTCCTTTCAAGACAAGTTCACCACTACTTAATGCCAAAAATGTAGATCTGGAGAGTAGCCAGATCATGTTCTCCTCACCTAGGGCAGAATCACAGAGATGGAACAGAAGACAATACCCCCATCCTTTCTAGGAGTACAAGGAAAACCAGACACAAGTATATAGAATCCACTCAGCTACAGTAAGACTCGGTTTCTTCTACCTTATCAAGCCTGGCTATAACTACTTCAGATATTGCAAAATCACAGTTGCTTAAAGCCTCCCCGAAACACAACTTCAACACATTGCCTCTTGTTCCTTTCCTTCCCTAGCACGCGTGATTTAATAGTACCACTTTCCATTTTAAAGTGTCTGGCCATCCTCATTATTCCCAGAAAACAGTAAAATTCAGTGGCTCCCAGTGCCTTCTTCCATGTTTTCCTCTGATCAGACTAACAGAATTCCTAAATGCACAAATGGATACCAACCCAAGAAGGAAGTTACAATGGTCTTTGGGGTTCACATGTCGTTTTACAAAAAAAAGAAAAAAAGAATCATTTCAGCCTGAGAAACAAGGGAGAGAAGGGGAAGAATCGAAAAAGAAAACCCACAGATGCAGTTACAGCACAATTCACGCTGAGCCCAGAGTGACTAGTTGTCAGTAAATAAATGGACCAACTTAATCGACCAGTTGCAATTACATTAACAAAGTTTGCTGAAGCCCAACTCACCAGGGACCATAAACTGCAAAGAAAACAGCAATTCTGTGCCAACTGCTCACAATTTATTGCTATCGGGGAAGCTGGTCTGAGGAAGCAATCCAGCATGTTTGTAACTCGTTGAACACAGAAACTAACACACACTTACCTATCAATGTACTCCGCATCGCAATCAAAGGTTTCTGGTCTTCCAGTGATAATCCAACCATACACATGTATTAGTTCTCCTGTTTTAAGAAGATTTTTGAAATGTAACACACTTCACTCATACTGTAAATTATAACATAAGCAATTTATTTTTGGTACCATCTATTTAATACAGCCAAACTGGACATGACTCAGAATATTAATGCTTTTTTACAAACTGTACAACAGGAAAGGAGTCTCAAGTATGATCCAGTGATCAATATTACACATTAAAAAGTCTAAAATAACTAATTATTGCAATCACAGAGTCAATCAGCTACGTACAGAACACAAAAGCAAGAACAGGTCTTCCCCACAGTTCTATGAAGTATGAGGCTTTCGGGAGGAAAGGCCAGTTTCCACACACTGACTTGTTCTACCCTCTTGGCTGTGTGTAGATCATCACCTAACGTGGGATTTAAGAACACGGTGCCTTGGGGTGCTCTGCATTTCATGACACTTTCCCCTGGGCACTTGCTAATATGGAAAACCAAGGAGGTTCATGTCACATGATCTGGATGGGTATTTGGGGATACTAGACTTTCTTCCAAATCTCAGAGGACAAAAGATAAATGTCAAGGATGACCCAAATGGATGGGAACTCAGAAAGAAAGGCATGAGATAGAACAGAATTACAGCATAAAGATGGGCAATTGCACATCTCATTCATTCAAAAATTATGCTCATGTTCAAAGATAGAACAAATTGAAGACCTGCAAACAGTTGGTGTCAGCCTTGCCCACTGACAAATGGATGACTTCTACTGCTGAGTCTCCTCTATGTGACTCATAGGGATTTCCACTAGGTAACAAGTATTTACTTAATACACCCTCTTTTGAGTTCAAGTTCAAGAGGAAGTGCAGGCATCAGCAATCCCCCCTCTCAGCAAGGTGGACTCTTGGTACTGTCCCTACCCAATCTGTTCATAGTTGGTGAGAAAGGAATCTGTGGTGAGAAAGGAATCTGATGTCACTCTTTCACAAAGAGTTTGGGGGCCCCTACCGGATGCTACATGAGCTGATTTCTTCCATAGTTGAAAACACCTAAACTCAGTTCTGTAGAACTACATGAGGCAAAGTTTTAAGCAAGCACACCATAGTAAGGTGATGTAGTTCAATTTCACCAAACAACCCCACAACCTGGGAATGTGTGCCTTCCAAATAATTAGGAAATTTAACCATATACACTGTAATCTTACAGCATTACAAACAATGTTAAGAGATGAGAGCAGTTTTGGTTAATGAGGTAAAACAACAAAGGTGGAAAAGAAAAGAGCACTTAAGGGGATGATGAAGTCACTGAAGGCAGAAGACTTTGAATCTCTTCATGGCCACATTTAAAGTCACAAAAGAACATTACCAAGAAGTTGTTCCCTTCATGCTGTGGGTGCTTTATTAATACAAGAAGACTTTTGTCTGTGGTCACTGGATGACTGACTAGCACTGAAACCATGGGAACCTTCCGGGAAGTATGAGAGCCACTCACTGTACAGATGAATGGGTAGAAGGGGCTGGAACCTAATGCCTTAGACAAAGATCACAGAAATGGAGAAAGCCTAGACTCTGGAGTTCTTTGTTACTATTAACAACTGGCAAAATAATTTCCCTTCACTTTAATAGAGCTAAAGTATTAATTCCCTGGCTTTGATGGGCATGATTTCTTGCTTTCTTGGGCACAATTTTAAAAATTGGCAATAAGTTCTAGAAATTGGGAATTTTGTGAGTGGTTAACAGTCTTGCTTCTAAATAAAGAAGTCCAATAGAGCCTGAGAAATGGCTAAGCCAGCCTATGGTTCTGGGTGATTCTCCGTCACAGTGGAGAACTGTTAACCACATATAGAAACTCAACTGCTAATGGAACATCATCTCTCCTGTCCCCACCACCTCCCCCATCTCCCTGGCTGCTATTCTGGGCAGACTTCCCAAATGAAATGAGAGTAATCATCTGTAAAATGATTTCAAAGATGTCACCATGTGGATCCTACCCAGAGGGACCACTCCAACAAGGCCAGCCACCAACCATTCCCCCAGAAGGGGGAAGATACAGTGTGCAGCTCTTGGATTGGGAGGGAGAAACGGGCCTGACAGATCCGTGTGAGCCAATATCCCACTTCACACCTCTCATGGCAGGCCCCTTCCTCATCCCTCACCCTGTGGACTTCTGCCATCTAAACAAGAGCTTTCTAACACCAGAGCAGCAAGGACCCAAATGTCTGCATGCGACTTTTAGAGCACATTTTCTTTTTAATAAAACATGATCACGTCTTGATTATTCAAATGGAAAGGAACAGATCTCTGAATAACCCACATAAAAAAAATTATGCTGGAATCATATTCTTCAGTATATAATTTAAATACACACATACATAATCTTGTGTCTACACACACACACACACACACACACACACACACACACACACCCAAAGGGCAAATACTTTTCAGCAACTCAGATATTCATTGTGACATTCTCGAGCAGTCAAGACATTCAAAACTAGATCAGTTTATGCATTTAGACACAACTACATATAAACATTTAGCAATTTGTATTCCCATAATTACACCATCTGGAAACCCTGAACAAAGGGAAAATCTGAAATAGACCTAGGAATTTGCCAAGAATCAGACAGCAAATTATACATAATCCTAGCTTGTATTTACTACTTAGTTGTAAGGCAAGCTTAGCGATTCTTGAACCTATTTCTTAGCTGCGATCCCCTCTTTTATGTAAATCTCAACCTTCTCTCTCTTCTTCACTTCTATCCCCTGGCCTTTGCATGCCTGTGTGCCCTCTAATTCACAAACAAACCCCCAGTGTAAGGATCAGGGTTGCTGGCCTTGCATGTGGTATGCAACACCACTCAATGCAAAACAAAACAATGGGTACACCTGCCCACTCTGGATTCTGCCTGCCTGGGTGCAAATCCCAGCTACACACTTAATAGCTGACTTTAAGCAAGTTGCTTAACCTTTTGGTATCTCGTTTCCTCATCAGCAAATGAGAATTATAGTCCCTATGTCATCAGGTTCTTGTGAGAATCTGATAAGATAATATATGCCAAACACTTAGAACAGAGCCTGGCTCACAGTAAAGTTCAAAAAAGGTTTGCTATTATGCAAACAACTATAAAATTAAGAACAATGATGATTTTTATTTCTTCCATGCTCTGGCAGTACCTGGTTTGATTTTGCTGGCCTCTTTTCCTTTTCATGTTTGGATTCCTTTTGTTATCAGTAAAGTCATAGAGCAAAAGAGCCCACAGGTGAAACCAAACCAGATTAAAAGTAAACCAGAGGTTGACATTTATTTTCAAACCAGCATCAGAGAAGTTCAGTGTTCCCATTTATAGAGAGCACCCACCTGGGTAGAAGAGTTTTCAATAGCTTTAGCAAAGGGATCCATAATTATTCCTATTTTAATAGGAGATTTCTTACCTGGCACTCCACTCGGTGGTATAACGTGGTAAACAATGGGTGTCTGCCCCCTGGAAAACTGTTCAGGAAAGGTTATCATAAGGGAGCATTCCATTAGAATATCACAACCACAGACAAGAAGCAAAAGTCATTCCTCATCGGATATTAGTCAAAGATGGTAAATGGTTACACTTCCTCAAATAAATGTACATCTATTTCTTTTTATCCTCATAATACAACTGTGAAGCAGAGTTAACAGGTATTACTATAGTTTCTCCACAGAGGAAGTAAAGAGAATTTTACCAAGGTCATGTAGCTCTCTGTCCTGTACCATATTGCCCAAACTTTGGCAAGTCTGTTTCCACCAGCCCACCTACCGTAGCCAGGAACACATTTCACCAGAAAAATAGGTAGGTAGGCCACCTTTAGAATTCCATTATTGTAACTTGGTATTTTGGAATCTTGAAGGATTTTAATTTTCTTGGCAAAAATTTGCTTACTTAAGTTGAAAGGATTGCAACTTAAATTATCATCAACACCTTTGTAGGAATGAGCAAGCTACAAAAAACTGGAGTTGGGTAGGCACACAAGTGAGGTGTTTGTTGAGAAAATGGATCATGGCTCTCAGGAGAAAAAAGGATTCAAATGATTCAAGGAATGGGAAGCAACATCACTCTTTGAGAAGGGGGAAAATAGCCCTGATGGAAGAGGTGGAAGTCTATGAAAGCCTGGTCATGGCCCTCCAAATCAGCTTTCTATGTCCCTTCCCCCAAAGTATATTCTCTGCTAATCACATGCTCTAGAAAGGCAGGGACAGTGCCTTACTCAGTCATGGTTTTACTCTTATGCATAGCATGGTATACAGAAGACATTCAAATTTTTGTGAATGAATAAAGTGGCCCCATCTGAGATGATTGATATGGTACCTGGAAGTAGAGGGGAGAAAAAGACAAGTCCAGGAATTTCATCTTACCTATAGGCATCTGAGTTAGTCCAAGATTAGTGCATTTCATAGTCAGGGCCAGTGTGAACAGAGAGGCATAAGGATGGACTGACCAGGCCAAGGTTTGACACATGAGCTAACAACATTCAGGAAGAGACTTGGTTTCCCCCTCATGTGACCCTTACTCTCAACCTCCTCTAGATGCCTACACAGCCTTCATTCCCCATAAACTACACTGCTTCCCACTTGCAAATCAAGCGAAAGCAAATTATTTAGCTTGGCCTGCTTCCAGCATCCCAGGAGTTCACCTTCCCAGGCAGAATACCACCAAAGAATAACTCCGTTGTTAATCAACAGCCCTAATCAGAGGAGAGAACCAACAGACATTTCAAAAAAGCTAATGGTAGCTCGGCAAGTGTAAGTTTTATGTATTGATCCACATGGCTACACAGCCTGCCATCAAGGCTAGTTTCCTCCTCCTAAAAGAGGGTTAGAGAACAGGTCACAGAAAGTATGTACAGTCAGAAGGTCAAAGTAAGAATGCCATGACCTCATCAATTGGGAGCTGGCTCTGATCTCACCAAAAGATAAGGATTAACACAATTCCACCTGCCCCTGCCAAACATGCACTCCACACCCTGGACTCCCAGCCTCCTACTGTACCCAGGCCTTCACCTCTCCCTGAGGTGCCCTTGGACACTGCCATTGGAAATATATCCTAGGAGCCTCATGAGATAGAGTAGTGGTCACCACCTCCCCTTCTCACAGACATTAGAAACTGAGGCTAAAGTACAATCAAGTCCAGACCAAATAAGGACACATGCGTCTGGATTTCCAGTTTGAAATGTAAGATCTACCACTCAGTCTGTGAGCCTTCCACCAGAAGCATGGGGGTGGGGGTTGGGGTGGTGGCAGGGGGAATAGAGTGACTCCTTGATCAATCCCTCCCCTTCCTCAACATGGTGGGGTGGCTCAGAGTTAAACCTCAGAAAGAGCTTCACTTGTGATTCCCTCTGAGCTGACATGACATAAAAATGGTGTATTTCTAAGGAAAACAGGCTCCGTCCACCCACCAAGCGAGAGACATGACAAAGTGAAAAATTAATGAGCTTCCAAATCAAGCTTCCTGCACGCTGATCCCTGAGCCGGAGTGAGGTCAGCCTGAGTGAGATGGGGGAGAGGAAACACAGCAGATCAGGATAGCGAAGCCACAGCCACCAGCTGCTTGATAAACCTTCTGTGAGTTGTTCAAACTTGTCAGCGCCTGCAGCAGGCTCTTTGAAGTGGACTGGCGAGATGGAATTAATTTTTAATACTCACGGTTCCCCCAGTCCCAAAACAAAGAGACACACTGTGTTTTATTTAGCTTGGAATGCCTCTCATTAACTGCATCCCCTGGTGATTTTTCATCAACTCGCCAAGCTAGACGAAGCACTTGAGGACTTGTTTTCTTTAATGTGCAATTTTAGGAAGTGCTTCTCTTCTCTCCCCTTGCTCTCCCTCCCGATCTTTAATAAGTAGGAAAACTACTATCTGGGGTGAAAGGAACATCAAAACCAAAAACAGCATGGTGGTTAGGGAGGGTGCCTGGCCATCCATCTGCTGTTACATCTACAGAGACAGTGTAGAGGTGGTGGTGTGGGTCTTAATAAGAATGGTTTTTTTCTTTCTGCTGCATATGTGCAGAAGCAAAATTCCAGAAGACAAGCTTCTCTTGAAGTGAGAGACAAGTTGTTAAATGTGAACTGACAGCAAATTCCAAATTTGTAAATGGACTGCCTACATAAAGAGTGGATGGTAACAGGGATGATTTGGGGGGATGAATTCTTGCTCTAAAGGAGCATTAATGACTAATACTGTTACGAGCAACCTTTCAACAGAGGCACCCTATGGGAAGTACGATCATCACAAGGAACACTGTCAAACCTCAACCTTTTGTGAAAAGTCTAGCACCTTCCCTTTTGAGAGATTGGTGTGAAACTAACCTGAAATGAACAATAGGCTGAACCAAACATAAAATTAAGACCAAGTATACATATTGCTTCTCCAAAATAAGCTAGGTATTAGCTCATAAACTCTCCCTCTCTCTGCTCCCATTTGGCTCTAAGTTAGAAGGAGAATGCCATCAGCAAATGCCCTTTCAATTTCAGGTTGGAAAGAGTAGCAGAAATAGAGTACAAAGCAGAGGCAGAGGTACAACTTGGGCCCTGAGTTCCTTCATCCTACCAAGACTCAGGAGAATTGCAGCTATAAAATGAAACACTGACCCACAATGATCATCTTTGTGGCTCCTCTATGGGCTTCAGTTTAGAAGATTTAAAGTCTGACACAGGTTCAAATCCTAGTCCTTTTCAATTCCACATGTAAGTGAAATCATACAGTATTTGTCTTTCTCTATCTGACTCATTTCACTTAGCACAATACCCTCTAGTTCTGTCCATGTTGTTGCAAATGGTAAGAGTTTATTCTTTTTTATAACTGAGTAACATTCCATGAAGGAAGGAAGGAAGGAAGGAAGGAAGGAAGGAAGGAAGGAAGGAAGGAAGGAAAGAAAGAAAGAAAGAAAGAAAGAAAGAAAGAAAGAAAGAAAGAAAGAAGTAGATGGACATCTGGGCTGCTTCCATATCTGGGCTATTGTAAATAATAAACATAGGGGTGCATATCTCTCTTCAAATTAGTGTTTGCATTTTCATCAGATAATTATCAGGAAGATAAATCTCTGGATCATATTTCTATTTTTAATTTTTTTAAGAAACCTGCTTACTGTTTTCCACAGTGGCTGCACCAATGTACATTCCCACCAGCAGAGGGAATACAGTCAATAATATTGTAATAACTCTGTATAATGACAGATTCTAACCTAGACTTATCATAGGGATCATTTTGTAATGTATCAAAATATCAAATCACTATGATATATACCTGAAAGTAACAGGACATCATATGTCAATAAAAAATTAAAAACCAATTTTTAAAGAATCCTAGTTCTGTCATTTACTACCTAGAGGACACAGGAAAATTATTGAGGAGATGGGCAAATTATTTCATCTCCCTGAGCCTCAAGTCACTCATCTGTAAAACCACGATAATAAATAGGTACCCCATATAATTGTTGCAAGCATCAAATTAATGTACATAAAGCATAGAACCTGACATCCAAGTGCTCAATACTTAACTTGCATTGGTACAGACTCAGAAACCCGACAACCACCATCCACCTTTCTTCTTACCCTGGCAAAGCAGACCCTGACTTGTAAGTTGCCTGTCGATAGCACAAAAACTCCCTCAGACAGCAAACACACATTGCTCCATCCTTAGAACCCACCTGGAAAGTACAGTTGTCCCGCGGTCCTGGACTTGGGCTGCCTACCACCTGTCCCCCAGAGTGCACTTCCAGGTAGTACAGCCCCTCATGTGCTTCAGACAGCAGGGATCTGCAGGCAGAAAGTGGATGTCCTTGTGAATCAAAGACAGAATTACCAAAGCCAGCCGCCCCACCTGACCACTTTAAATTTCCTCCCTGCACCTGTGAAATGGCACTTACCAAGGATTCCTATGTCTATTTGCCTTCTGGATCCACTCACCTACTAGACTTTAAAGATTGTATCCTCAGGAAACCATCAAAACCCTAGAGGAGAAAGCAGGAAAAGACCTCTCTGACCTTAGCCGTAGCAATTTCTTACTTGACACATCCCCAAAGGCAAGGAAATTAAAAGCAAAAATGAACTACTGGGACCTTATGAAGACTTGCAACAAAGACAACCAACAACCCAAAGGCAACCAGCAGATAGGAAGAATATTTTGCAAATGACATATTGGACAAGGCTAGTATCAAAATCTATAAAGAGCTCATATCGACTTCACACCCAGAAAAACAAATAACCCAGCATGAAGAAATGGGTGAGAAAACATGAATGAACACTTCTCTAAAGAGAGACATCCAGATGGCCAGCAGACACACATGAAAAGATGCTCAGCATCACTCCTCGTCAGGAAATGCAAAATCAAAACCACACTCCCAGATATCACACTCCATGCTCAAGGTGGCCAAAATGAACAAATCAGGGAGACTATAGATGCTGGAGAAGGATATTAATGGGAACATATACACTGTTGGTGGGATGGTACAACCACTCGGGAAGAAAGCTCAGTGTGGAGTTCCTCAAAAATTAAAAATAGACCTACTCTATGGGCCAACATGCCACTACTAGGGTGCCGGGATACAGAATTACTGATGCATGAGGGCACCCTGTGCCCTAATGTTTATAGCAGCACTCTCAACAATATGGAATTATGGAAGAACCTACATCATCAACCTGATGAATGGATAAAAAAAATTATGGTTTTATATACACAATGGAGTACTGTGAGAAAAGAATGAAATATGGCCTTGTAGCAACATGGAACTGGAGAGTGTGATGCTAAAGTGAAATAAACCATGCAGCCATATGGTTTCACTCTTATGTGGATCCTATGAGAAACTTAACAGGAACCCATGGGGGAGGGGAAGGAAAAAAAAAAAAAAAGAGGTTAAGTGGAAGAGCCAAAGCATAAGAGACTCTTAAAAACTGAGAACAAACTGAGGGTTGATGGGTGGGGGAGGGGAGAATTGGGTGATAGGTGGTGAGGAGGGGCACCTTTTGGGATGAGCACTGGGTGTTGTATGGAAACCAATTTGACAATACACTTCATATATTGAAAAAATAAAAAAATAAAAAAAAATAAAGATTGGATCCTTTGGCAAAATGTAATTGTTTTACTGAAAGTCCTTAAAATTAAAAAAAAAAGAAAACCTGTCTTGTTTGTCAGAATTGTAAGTTCAGGGACTTTAAGACTTGGAAGGGACATTGATAGATAGTCTAATTCTAGTTTCCATTAAAAATTTTTGACAGTTCCAAATAGATTAAGATATTTATGTGTGTGAACACCATAGGTCAGGAGCAAAGTGGGGCTTGAATCCTAGGCTCCTCCTGATAAAAGGAATTGATTTTACGTTACCCCAAAAATTCTTGACTTCATAATATTCAAGCAGCCCATGAACACTTCATATACCCATCAAGAAAGTCCTAGACCCTCTCTCCTCTTTTCACAAATATCACAGTGATTTCTCTGCCTCTTTGGTGCTGCCATTCATGTTGATTTTTGTAAGAGGGGGAATATGATCAATAAGGAGCTAGCATTAAGAAGTGTGTCCCCTACAAACCTTCTCATCAAAATCTTCAGTATGACTTTAAATATTTAAATCTGCACCATCCAATGCCATGGGTGGTTAATGAACACTTGAAATGGGGCTCGTCCCAAATAAGATGTGCTAGGAGTGTAAAATATACACTGGATTTTGCAGACTTGGTGTGCAAAAACTGTATAAAATATATATTGTTAATAATTTATATATTGATTACATATGAAATAATATTCTGGATATGTTGAGTTAAATAAATTATTACAATTAATTTCACTTGTTTCTTTTGACTTTCTAATGTGGCTACTAGAAAATTTTAAATTACATTTGTGGCTTGTGTAATGTTTTGATTAGACAGTGCTGATTTAGAGGCTATGATCCCTGTTTTGGTGAAAGCAGATACATCTTTATGATAATGAATATGAGAGTACTGATAAAATGTGCATTTTTTTCACATTGGAATGTTAACTGAACAATACTTTTTAACCAACAAGCACGTATAAGACATAGTGTTTCTTTTCCTCTAAAAAGATTATTTACATCAATGGTGCATCTTAAAATCATTAGTATGGGGGACACCCATATTAATTAGTATGGTTCAGTCTCAGTTGGTTAAGTGTCCGACTTCAGCTTAGGTCATAATCTCACAGTCCGTGAGTTCAGCCCTGCATCAGTTTCTCTGCTGTCCACACTGGGCCTGTTTTGGATTCTCTGTCTCCCTCTCCCTCTACCCTTCCCCCCAGCTCTCCCTCTCCCTCCCTCCCTCTCTCTCTCTCTCTCTCTCTCAAAAATAAATAAATAAACATTTAAAAAAAATAAAATCATTAGTATGTTGGGATTGAGGGGATAGATCTTCAGAGTTTTGATCTTCAGAGTTTCATGGCAAGTTCTTGCAGGAACTCTATGCCCAAGTATACCATAAAACCTAAGGAAAATATGCAACCCAGTTTTAAAACCAACAGCAGGGCTATAAGAAAGTTCAGTTCAACAGACATTTATGGAGCATCTTCTCCTCACAAGATACTGTGCTAAGTACCGTAAGGACTACAAAGGTGGTGTCAAACACATCTCCTGTCCTCAAGGCACTTAATTCTAGGATGAATCTGAGAAGTGAACAACAGGCATAAAGTCATGAGAAACATAGAGCTGAGGCACAGGGCCACTGAGGCCACACATGCCATGCCTTTGTGTAAACTGCAAAAGGTGCTTCCTCCTCAAAGGTGTCGTAACCATCACTTGGATTTCAGCCCCTATTTGTCCCCCTTTCAAAGAAGGGAAAGATCACACTCAGTTGTATGTTCAGGGAAGAGGTGACTTTCGCAGGTTAGGATTTCCATAGACAGAAATGGAAGACAGGGAGCCTTGCTGAAGGAGGGAACAAAAAACAAAAGGAAATGATGATTTTTTTTCTCTCAACCAATGATCCACTTTCATGCAGCATCTCTAAGATATGAGTGGGAAAAGAATGAATGTGAAAACTTCGTAAGCCAAAAAAAAAAAAAAAAAAAACAAACAAACAAAAAAAAAAAACTTAAGTAGGATGATAGATAGATTACCTGGAATCCTGTACAAATCATACCGAAAAGGAAATACACTGAGGAATAAAGCAAATTTCCTTTCTAACTAGTTTTGGGTTTATGCTCAATCATTAACGATTATGCCTAGTTCAAAAGATGAGTTCTTTAGATGGTAAAATGGCACTATTTATTGAAATCTTGATAGTGACAGAGCTCCTTACCACCACCAACAATAAGAAAACACAGATGAAAACACAATCCAACCCCTCCTTATAAATATCTCAGGTTCTCAAAAATCTTCCTTATATTCTCATCCTCCCTTAGGCCCTAGAGCCCTGATAAGGAACTCTGGTGAAGTGTATTCACAGGCAACCTTTTTAAAGCTGTAGCTGATAACCACAGTCAGCAAGGGTTGCTCTACCAAAATCCACGGAGATAAGCAAAGCACTCAACCTGTCTGATCTTTCTCACATGCTGACAGGAGTACCTGGTCCTGCACATCACCAGTGGCAAATCCAAGAAGACAGGAGAGACGTCACAAGGGATGCTCGGCAGGCCAGGCACAGCCATGTTCACCAGGTGGATCTCCAGCTGAGAGCCATTGGTAGGATAAAGGAGCTCTAAGTGCAAACCTAAACACCAGGGAAAGGGGAATTTGAGGCTAAACAGAGCTGTAATCCACAAACAACATAAAAACATGGCCACACAGGAGCACTGTGAGACACTGAGCTTGCCTAAGGATTAAATTACTACTCCTCATTTCCAAATGCATTTATGACTGCTGTGTAAATGAATGTTCTCATTTACGAGTGTATAAAAAAGAATTTTCTCTCTCTCTTCAGGTCCATCCACTTAAATCCAGGAATTTTTCAGCCCTCAAAATTATTCTTTACACTGGTACAGGTGGGTAAACTAAGCCATGGTTTAGAAGTTCCCACATACAGGGGCACCTGGGTGGCTCAGTCAGTTAAGCGTCCAACTTTGGCTCATGAGTTCGAGTCCCGCGTCAGGCTCTATGCTAAAAGATCAGAACTTGGAGCCTGCTTCAGATTCTGTCCCCATCTCTCTCTGCCCCTCCCCTGCTTGCACACGCTGTTTCAAACATAAATAAAAATATTTTTTAAAAAGTTCCTACATATAGAATCATCTGCAAGGAAGCAAACTAAGATTCTGGGGAACACATTGCTAAGTTCTATGCTGCACTCTTCCCTATCTCATCTACAGTTCCTAGAGTCCCATCCCCACAGCTTGGGATAAGAAGGTGGATACACCATAAAATGGTGTGATGTGCTCTGTTTCTGTGATATCAGCAAGTGAGCATGTGGAAACACAGAAGTCAGTCAGTGGGTCCAACACCCTTCAGGCCCTCTTTTATACCTGTCCTTAGCCAAGGAAGAAGACTCACATTATTTAGGATTCTTAGTAAGTAAGAAACTTGCATTTGGTAAGACCCAAACCTACCATCAAAAAGGACTGTGATCCACGTTCCCCCAGCAAGACTACCTTCTTCAGGCTCAATGTGGAAACGCAGGGAAGACACTGTAAATAAGAAAAACACTGGTTTTGAAGTTCAGATTCAATACACCTGCTTCCCTAACGTTATAAAAACAAAATTTAGCATTCCTCAGAATCACCAGGAGGGCTTGATAAGGCACAGATTGCTGGGTCCCACCCCAGAGTTTCTGATTCAGCAGGTTTAGGGTAGGGCCCAAGAATTTACATTTATGACCAGGTGCTGCTAGTTCTACTGGTCTGGGGATCACACCTTCAAAACTTTGATCTTAAGGGAAGTTCTGTCTGATCCACTCTTCTTGGACACCCAAAAACCTAGTGTTCACCAGAACAATCCTGAATTCCTACTTTCTTTGGAAAGGACCTCAAGGACACATTTGGCTTCTAATTAAACATATAATATCTCTTGTTTCTTTCCCACCCTTTAATCAGGTAGTCATAATTTAGCCACCAATTATTTCTTACATATCCACTTCCCAGAGAAGAGGAGAAACTTCTAGAAGTTTCTGTTCCTAGTTAAATCCTTCTGTCTCCATATACCATCTTCTAGTTTCCTCCTTTTAAATATATCAGAGCAACTCCCCAGATGGATACAAAATTCTGTAGATGTTTGCCTTGCCATCTGAGAGAGAGGCTGAAGCATGGATCAGGGCTGGAATTTCCTTGAAAACAACAACAATACTATAGACTACACATGCTAGGCTAGATTGGGTTCTCCCAGAGAGACCATTGGCTGAACATGGCAACCAAACCCTCATCTTTGAAGATCTCCTGGACATGCCTCAGCCAAGGCAAAGTAAATTCAAGGAGCTATCAAAAATCAGTCAACTCTTCAGTGAGGTCCTAGATAGGCAACATACTATCTATAGAACATTTTTCAGTTCTTATGTCAGAAAAGTCAAAGGATAATCCAGGCCACGCTAACCCTGGGTAGCCCAGGGCTTCCATGTACATTTATGTAGGTGGCATAATGCACAACCGAGGATGGTGGGGAATCAGTCACATCAACACAATTATTCACAACAGTCCCAGCCAGGCCAACCCATGCTTCCCCCTCAAACGTGTATTAGATACTTCTACCTAAAGCAGACCAAAAACGAATACCATAAAAAGATACCAAAGGTAAGTAAACTCACAGAGAAAATTAGAGACATGATTTGAGGAAAGAAGAGTTTAATACAAGCAGTTATTAACTGCTAAGACAAGATAAACTATTCCCTTTGGGAAGATAAAGCAATAAATCTAAAAAGAATTACATCACATGGCTCAAAAACGAATTCTAAAAAGAAGGTTATAAATTATTATTAGAAGCTCTAGATTATGACAGCAACCTCAATTGGCCATTAATTCATATATATATGAATGTATATGTGAATATGCATATGTATACGTGTATATATGAATATATATGAATGTATATATGTGAATATATACATATATTCATAGCTATTTAATATATAGCCTACTAAGCAGAAAAAAATAATTTTTAAGCGGAGAAAATTTACACCCAGAGCAGATACTTGAAGACTTTCCCCAGATAATATTTTAAGTATCAGTAAAATAGTTCAAGGCAACTTGTTGTGCTCTATCTATAATCCCTTCGAAACACATCCTACTCACCTGCCAAAAGTAGTATTTCAGCACTCATCAGAGAGATCAGCCAGCCAGTCATCCTGTGCGCTTAAATCAATCCTTTCAAAATTGCTCAGATATTGAAAGCATATTCAGTTTTGTTGGAGCAGCATAGCTTTTGTGCTTTATAAAAAAATAAAATGACAAATTACTATCATTTTTTACTTACATACTACTACTTTATGGGGCCAAAACTTGGGGAATTAAGGAAGTGATACCTACATGGCCCTAGAGTCTTCAAATCGACCCACTATCCTCCCAAGCTCAGGAGAAAAGAGTACTCTAAGAATCTCATATAAAATCATCACTATTTCACCTCCTCCCCCTTTCTCACCAACTTATTTTATGCATGTTTAAGCTGGGTAAATACTGATAGCCTCTTTCAATAACTCATTACGGAAAAGCTTAATTTAAAAAAATACTAAATTCTAGATATCAAGATACAAGTTAATGGTAGTTGCGGTGTGAGGGGTAGGGTAGATTGTTTTGTTTTGTTTCTAAAAGAGTCTCAGGGGCACCTGGGTGGCTCAGTGGTTAAGTGTCCAACTTCAGCTCTGGTCATGATCTCACAATTCATGGGTTCGAGTCCTGCGTTAGGCTCTGTGCTGACAGCCCGGAGCCTGGAGCCTGCTTTGG